AAAAAAGAAGATCTTAGCATATGCGACAGAAGATGAAGTGGAGTCTCGCCCCGAACGCATTGATTGTCTGCTGTGCTCCGCGCGCTTGGCAGACACCAAGACGCTAGGCCCGGTTAGAAACGGTGGCGTTAAAAACCACGTGAGAGAGCTCGGGAACAAAACAGAAAGACCCGCGGGTGTTTTATAAAAAGGGCCGCCGGCAGTATTGGACAAATTCAAGGTCCTATCAAGTTTTTCAAGGACCTAAGACGTTTTTCAAGCACTTTCAAGGACCTAAATTTAGCAAAAAAAATTCAAGAACTTTCAAGGACTCTCAAGGACCGTGGGAACCCAGTAGTATGAAATACCTCATATGAGATGATGCACTTAAGGAATTTGCAATTTAACAAAACAAAACCAAGTTTTCCATTAAAATTAAAAATATAGATTTCTAAAAATCTGGCTAAGAAACAAGAAGATTAAATTTGGAAGGGTGATTAAAATATAAATGAAAACTATAAGCATAGTTAAAATTCTATTTGCAGGGTATCTGCAACACTATGAAATTGGGAGGGAGAGGGGGTCAATTCCATTTTAAAAATTAGAATTTTTGGCAACCTAAACCTATGACTTTCCATAATTTTCTTTTAAAAAATAGTGAAAATCATGACATTTCATGGCAAATCTTGTTCCTTACTGAAATCCATGACTTTCCGGGTGTGCAGATACTCTGTATTCGTAATTTCAAATATTCATGACCCTATACCAAATATCTGGTCAATTATTTCAATAATCCTTTAGTGTAATTTTTGACTTGCAAAGGGTTCGTTTTTAATTAATTCCATTTATCTAAAATGAACTACATCAAGCAAAATTCTATAAATAGTATTTAGTTTGCATAAGTCAGTATCAGTAACATTAAGAACTACTCTTCACACCTTACAAAAAGATATTAAAAATAATGTAACAGTATTTCTAATTGTAAAATTTTTAAGTATAAAGAAAAGATTCTTAAGGACACCAAGTATGGCTAAAAATAGATTAAGATGGAATCCTAATCTTCATATTTTATAAAATATTTATATATTATTTAGTGAAAAAGACAGAAAAATTAGAAAAATTGAATTTTTATTTGGTACCAATCAATTCAATTAGAATAAGAATTTACAGCATCCTAATTGAATATTAGAAGCGAACTTTAAAATTGCATAGTGTGTTAACATAAAATTTTAACATTTTATAATATAAATAAATTCACCAAATTAGATTTTAAATTAAAAATCAAATTTAAATCTAGTACTGACTAATCATTTTACTAAGGGATAAAAGTCAAAATTTATGCATATTTCTTATCCAAGATGCTCAAATTTTGCTTAATCCAAAAAATTTAATAAAATAAATATATGTTTATATTTCACCAAATACATGGCAGTTATTTGTTCAGTTATATTTATCTTATATTTTACCCTGCTGAAAAAATGGGAATCTTTTTGGTAATTAAAAATTGATTTGTGCATTGATCTTGTCTTAAGGACTAATGCTTCTAATCATAAATTTTTGAACTTATTGAAAAAAAGTAAAACCAAGAAAAACTTTCTTTATAATGAATGAAAATATGCTTTAAAAAAATGAAAGAACTACCAAGATTTTTATTATAGTTGAAAAGCTAGATTTATTAAAAAAAAACACTAAAATTTACTGTAATGATCAGATACATAAATTTTAATAGCCCAACAAAAAACTGCCTTAATTCATTGTTTCGATCCTATTATTTACTATCTTAATTCATTCCAATAATAACAATTAACAAAATTTATAGTAATGGTTGAATAAAGTATACATAATTCAATAAAGAAAGACTCACAAAATTCATTATAATAGTTTCAAATAAATGAGTAAATATCAAAAGTTAAATTCATTATTCTGTTTAAATGAAAATAAAAATCCCAAATTAAACACATTTTTAGCTTTCTATATTAGTCAAGCAAACAATGTAAAAAAAAAAAAAAATAGAGTGTAAAAATATAATATTTTTATTATATTTATTATAATATTTTTATAATAAAAGTCCAATTTTAAAAATTGACTAAAATATTCATGATTTTAAATTGGCACAACTGTTTTGAGAGTAATGCAAAACAAATATAAAACTATCAAAGCTCCAATATTATACCTTTTCTAGTTCTTTTAAGGATGCATTGTCTCTTCGTAACTTTTCATACTCCATTGACCTAGCATTGAAGTTTTCTTTTGCCTAAATAAGAGAAAAATAAAATGCTATAAATGGAATAAAAGATGGAAATACACAAAAAATACAAATAATGCTCCTTAGCTACTCAAATAAGCATTAAAAAAGCATATTAGAGACATTGGCTAATCCGAAGAAGTACTCAGTAGAACAGGTCACAATAAGTCTATACATAAGGTCAAAGGGCAAAAACATTACTACAGTGATACCTCGAGATACGAGTTTAATTCGTTCCGTAACCTTGCTCGTATGTCAATTTGCTCGTATCTTAAAGCAATTTTCCTCATTGAAATTAATTGAAATGCCATTAATTCGTTCCAGCCCCAAAAATGCTGCCCCCCCCCCAATTTTTTTTGTTACGTGTTTTTGAATAAGAGAAATGTATTTATAAATGACAAATATTGTATAAAAACATAATAAAAGAGAATGTAAAGCAAAAAAAACTGGTTTTACAAAGTGTAAATACATATTTTGTATTTCGGTCACTTACACACAACTTAAATGCTACTGCATGCTTAATTTTAGTCACTGCTTTTCTCTTCACTGGTCTTTGCTTTTTTAGCCGGATTAAAAGAAACTGTTCAAGGAGGTTTGTTTCGTCCTCTTTATCAGAATGCTGCAGAAATGAGTTAGGCAAGTTTCATGAAATAGCTCCGATGCACGACCAGTTGCAACTTTTTCGGGGTGTTTCTTTTCCATGAACTGTGAAATTCTCTCCTACATTCCCCAGAACTCTTTTATATCACTTGTAGAGGTAACCTCCTCCACCTCTGGCTCTTCCTGGAAACCAATTTCATGCAGAACTCCCGAATGCAGCTGCGACTGTAACTCTTGTAATTCCTCGGTCGTCAGTTCCTGAGAGTGCTCCTAGACGAGCTCGTTCACGTCTCTCTCGCCCATCACCAGGTTCATAGATTTTCCCAGAGACACAATCTCCTCCTCCACTGGCACTTCGGGTTCGAATCCTTCGAAGCTGCAGACTCAGGCCACAGCACAATTTTCGGCTATACACTCACTCAGGACACAGCTTCTTCCATGCAGAAGTCAAGGTCCACGTTGTGACACTCAGCCAGGCCTGATCAATAATTCTGAGGCATATCATGATGTTAAAGTGGTCCTTCCAGAACTCTCGAAGGGTGAGGTTTTTGTTCTCTGTCACCTGAAAGCAGTGCCGGAACAGGTGCTTAGTGAACAGCTTTTTAAAATTAAAAATCACCTGCTGATCCATGGGCTGCAGGATAGGAGTGGTGTTAGATAGAGAACCTTTATAAACTTGAACTCTTCGAGGATGTCATGTTCGTGGTTCGGTGGTTGAGCAGGAGCATTGTCGAGGACGAGAAGGACTTGCATGGTCGATCCTCGTATCTCAAATGTCGCTCGTATCTCAAAGCAAAACTTCGCTCGTTCGATAGCTCGTATCTCAAATAACTCGTATGTTAGGGCACTCGTATCTCGAGGTACCACTGTAGTTGGAAAATGAAACATTTTCAATGTGCATTACATGTGCAAAATTTAATCTATGACACATATAAAAACTATTCAAATAAAAGAGATCAAGTTCTCACTTTGAGAATATCATTAAAAATTTCTTTTCATATAGATATCAACTAAAGAAAAAAGCAGTAGCTTTCAGCTTCACTATAATTAGACTTATGTTTTCCTTAAGTACTTTGCTTAAGAGGACAAAAACTTAAAATTATTGGATAATGTATAATATTGATAACAATCTAAATCTTCCATTCATATAAAAGATGGTCAATCAAACAGGCTTATTTGCAGTAAAGGAAAGAATGTTAACATAGTTTGATAAATTTTAAAGTAATAAATAGCGAACAGAACAACAATTTACGATATTGAATCAATATTTCTATAAGCCTGATAATATTAAAATTTTTTCATAATTAGGGTATGTAATTCAAAAAGATCTAAGTACCCGAGTGTTTCATACCAAAAAACAAAGGAATGTAAAGCAAGAACCGTGTTTTTTTGTATTATTTCATTTATTTATATTTTGGTATTAATACATAATAATAAGCACATTTAAAATGCTCCCCTCTGAAAGTTGGCTTTAGCCTCATGACTTGGTATAAGATTCTTTTGAATTAACAAAAACTTTTCTTTGCAATTGGACTCATTTGAGTAAGAAGTTTTTAATTGATAAATAATAAGAAATTGAAGAAACATAATTTAGATCTTTCTAATAAAATAAATATGTATTACTAATACTAAAATATAATGATAAATACCTTTTGTAAAGCAATAGTTGTAAGCTGTATAGTTTGTACAACATCACAAGTCCCAGACTCTTCTTCTTTACACTAAATATATAAATGAATATTATTTAAATTGTGTGCACAAGAAGAATAAAATTTACCTTTAAAGAGGTGATTCAACAACTTAATGTGTAGTTGCAAAAAAGCACATAAAATAGCAATATCTTTTCAAAAAATTGGAATTTTGAAGGAAAAAAAATCAATAAACAAATAGAGCTTTTTCAGCATGCCAAATTTTAACTGTGTAGTTCCATCCATGAGGCCTGCAGAGCAACCTTACTGGTATTTTTCAAGCTAACTTTAACAGTTAATAATTACTAATCTAATTTTTATCACATCATACTCCCTGTTGCATTTTTCGACAATCCTTTTTTTCACTTCAAGTTTCTAAATCTTATTTTTGTATTTATTAATTTATTTATTAGCAGAAAGACAAATGAAACGTTTTGTTGAACATCCAAAGTAGCAGTGAAAATTCTTACAATTTTTTAATACGAGAGATAAAGCATATCTTTATATAATTATAATAAGTCTACATAAACTTTTTCAAAAATAAAATACTATCTTACCGATTTATGTCTCTTATGCTGATCTTCAGAATATTTAATTATGTCTTTTATAAGCTCTTGAAATCTTTGAACCATTTGCATATGCAATGTAGCTAACTTTTCAGTGGAAGTTCTTAAAATGGACCATAATGGAGCAAAACTCCTAAAACATAACATATAGATTTAAATATAAAATAAAATCAATAAATAAAATTTTACTTGAGATAAAAAAAAATTCCAAAATGGAAACTGCATTATAAAAATTTAAAAAAATATAGAAGATCCTTAAAATTCTTATAAAATTATGCACATAAATTTGAAAATTATTCGTAACAGAAAACATTTATATTTGCATTCAGTTGTACTTATTTAATGCAAACTCAAGTAAACAAGAGAATTTACAATAACACATTGATTTCATATTGAAAAGACTAAATCTGACTTAATTGTTACAAATAATTTAATGATGAATTTTTTTAAAAACTTCTGGAAAATTATTTCAATAAATATATCAGCAACAAAAAAAAATCTCACTGAACTTGAAAATTTCATTGCTTGTTAAAAAAATTAAAAACACTCTTTTAGTTCAATTTGCTTGAAAACTGTTTGTAGATAAGAAATAAAGAGAAACATGCGAAATTTCTTATACATATTATTTCTAAAATTAAGGTCATTAGTTAAGGCCACAGAAGCATAATGGCAACTTTTGTTCATCCTTTATAGGTGGTAATCACAAAAGCTAACAGAAGATGTTGCTGTACAAACTATCGAGCATATTATATCTCTTTTGTTTCTGTTGCCAATACTGTTTAGATGTTTCTGACCAAATGTTTGCTAAAGGTAGAATCTGACTATGACTGGGGAGAATTTTGCATAGATATTTCAAACATTTTCGGAATCAATAGTTATTAGTCATAATGTATTTCACAGCATACGTGTTGAACATTTAATCATTTTAAAACATGTTTTCATTAAAGCTTTGTGTCATTTAAAAAAGTTTTTTTTTCTTAAATTGAATATTTTTTATAATATTTTCAAAGGTAAATTAAGAAATTTAGTTTATAATAAATTAAATTTCCTAAATATTACTAAATTTTAACAATTATAAATCATAAAATATATTAAAAATAATATTGTTGCTTAAAAACTTGTTTCAGTAAGGCATAATATATGCAGTACATTATTCATATTTATAAAAATGGAATAAAACTTCATATTTAAGGATGAACAATGAAAAAAAATTTAGGCAAACAATTTCTCTTTATTTAACAACACCAACAGCAAAAATACTACAGTAATAATAATAAATTGAAACAGAATCCAAAATTTAGAAAATTAAATTTAAATACAATAAATTAATTTAAATCAAATGAATTGAAGAAAAAAAAATCAAAATATTTCAAAAATCCTAAATTAAAGTACAAGGTAATAGTAAAATAAAAAATAGAAGTAAATAAAAGTTAAGTAAATTTTAAGTTAAAGTAAATTTTTAAACTAGCTTTGTAAATTTTTAAATCAATGATTTCTTTAGAAAAAGTAACTAAAATAATAAAAAAGTTTTTAAAAATTTAGTTGATTTAAATAATAATTGGAATTATTTTACTGATTAGATAAGGATTGAAATTTCCAATCGCAGAGTGTGTTAATTTAAATCAAGCTAACTACACACCCTGGCTTTTCTTTTTGATAATTCAGACACAAATTAAAGCATTTTAAAAGACAATTATATTGAAAGAAGAATTTCATTCAAATTTTAAGATAGTATATTAAAAATAATAAAAAAGCATAAAAATTATAAAATATTTACAATTTATACATACAACATAAAATAATTTATTTTATCATAGAGATTAAAGTGACAATAAAAAAACTTTTATGAACAAAACCAATAGAAACTAATCAATCAAAAATGAATTTATTACAAGTAATTTATTAGTAAATTCAATATTTAAAAAAAAAAATTAAATCATCAAACACAATAAAAGATTTCGAAGAAAAAAATCGAAACATACCCTTGAGAGCAACAATTACTGGCATGTTTTGCCAATTTGGATAATAATTTTGAGTTTGTTTCCTCAATAACAGACCTACAGAAAAAAAAATTATGATAAAAATTGTAAATGAAATTTATAAAACATAAAAGAAAAAAGTATTTCTCGAATGATATTATTAATTTTTAACATGTGTAAATAAAATGTTGAAAAAAAAAACTTAAATATTACATACAGTAAATCTAATTGCAATTTTAAAAAAAATGTAATCATATCACAAAGTTTAATTCAATATGACAAAATAGGAATTTATGTACTATGCAAATATAAATTACAAATTAACAAAGTAAAAAAATTATGCTCATTATTAAACCAATAAAAAACATAAAATTACTGTAGAATAAATAAAATATTATATTAAAACTTTCTAATAACTAAAAAGTTCAAATTTATGCAGCTAAAGAAAAATTTAAAAAATCCATAAATCACATTTTTTTTCTTATTAATGTAAAATTATGGTAGAATACTTGAGTGAGAGATAATATTTAAAAATCTCAAACAATTTATACACTATTCTTTAACAAACTAACTACAATTTATTTATAAACTTGATTGATAATAATGCAAATGTAACTACTGAGTCAAAAGAAAAATGTTACTTTCTGAATAACTAAATTATATAATATTTAAAATTGCTAATGTTTTCAAGCATGTGGATTCAGCGTCACTTTTCGAAGATCACTTCTGTTTTTACGGAATTCTACTTAAATAATTTACATGTTCTGCTGCTTTTGAAATCCCCAGAAAGTTTAAATGCCCACGAATGTTTCAGCAAGGGTAAAACTATACATTTTCTTATAGTGTGTTTTTAGAAGCTAAGAAGCGAAGGTAGACGTATGCGGACCGAGGTAGTGAAGAGGTTAAAGAAAATAACAAAAAATTGTCAAAACTCTGACATCCCCTGCTTCTTTTTAGAAAAAGATAAAAAGTTGCATTATTTTGGTGGGAAAAGGGAAGGATAAAAACTTAAAAATTGCAAATAGGGTGGAGTTGATTTCGACAACAATTAATCACAAATTTAAGAATTAAGATTCATAGAACACAATTAAAATATTTGAAAGAAGAATCAATTTATTGTGAACAAGAATGCTAAGAAGAAATTATTATCCTTAATAGAAAAGAATTTTTTTTTCAAAATAAGATGTCTTATAAGACAATAATAAAATGTGCTGTCACGCAGAAATATTGGTTAAGCATTAATATTTAGAAAAATCTTTAATTATTTTTTAATTATTGAATGCTCAAGTCGATTTCTGTGATATTTCTGCCTATTGAAGATTTTTAATGATTAGTCTTAGAATAATATAAGTTAATAAGGTGGGGGAAAAAACATTTTCTTTGTAATTTGTTTATTCAGATGACTTTTTCTATTTTATCTAACTCTGCTTGTTGAATAGTCCATATTTCAATTTAAATCTATTATTTTGAACATTTTTCTGTGAAACCCTACCTTCCCTCCATTCATAGTGAATCAATTTGGCATTTTACATTAAAAAAATTTAAAAAAAGAATTAACATATTATTAGATTCTATATTTCTATTTTTTCTCCCCTCTCCACGATGCACGCCACATTTTTTTTTAAATTCTAATTTATTTTATTTTAAAGAAAGGATGATTTTTTATGATTAAACATAGCTTATTTTTCAATTAAATTCATTATTGTGTAACAGTCAAATATAAACTCTATTTTAAGACTTATCTTTACTTTGCAAATGTATAAATATAAAACGAACTAAAAATCATTCATTTAATGCGATTTTACATAAATTTTATTTTTTAAATCAAATTATATCCTTTTATTTTCATTTCTTTTCATTAAATTAAGATAAACTTAGCTGCCAAATTTTACCTATCTTCTGTATTAATTTTTTTATTATTAAAGTGGTAGCAATTATAAAAGTCTGGAGATAAAATATTTGCTTAATTCAAACATTCTGCTATAGAGAGCACATCAGGTGTTGTCTTTAAAAAATTGGTACACAGTAAAAAATACCTAAATTCCAGCATTAAAAAACAACATAAGATGATGTGACTCACTTTAAGGAAATTTCTGACCCTGACCTATCGAAATTTTTGTAATTTAATATAATATTTAAAATGAAATACAGTAGTATGAAAAATTTCTCTATATTGATCTGGGTCAATAGAAAATTGCCAAATTGGGAAGCTTTTAGCAGAGCATGGGAGAAACCTAAAAGGACATTCACAGAATGGGACAAACTTAATAAATAAAACTCATAACAACCCATTATAAAGTATCATATACATTTCTTGAATTGATTCTAAGTTACAAAATAATAAACAATTTATATTTGGTGCCTCCACAATTTTAATTAGCAGGAGTAGATAACACCATTGGAAATATTCAGCAACAGCACTTTGATTTTAATATTAGACAAAGTAAATAAAACAAAAAATTTCAAAATTCTTACTCATAAATAAATAAATATAAGTATTTCAATGCATTCTATCTAATACCTTTCTTTAAAGAATTCTGCCAAATCTTTACTAACAACATATCCATATTTCATGTTACGGTAGAGTACATGAAATCCATTATTTCCTTCACCCTGAAAAATTTATTGAAATGATAAGAGTGCTAAATAATTCTATTAAATACTCAGTACGAAAAGTAAAAGTCAATCATTTTAACGCACAAGGCTAATGAAAAGAACTATTAAATAGATAAAATGTAAAGTAAATACAATCAATTAAAGTAAACATTTCAATATTTTACTAAGCATATTTTAGTAACATATTATATCAGAGAGATAAACAATGACCAATTATTCAAATGAAGAAGGATTGCTACGTTTGAATAAAATGAAAAATTATGCATTAAGTGTAATTCAGTTGCTTTAATAATGCTTTAAGCGCAGTGATTTGTTTTGTTCAATGGATTATTTACCGATCATCATATTTAAACAAATAAAGCATAAGTAGCGGCGTTTATAACAGGAAACGGCAGAATCAAAAATTAATATAAAGAAATGATTGTTTGTAAATAAAATCGCAATAATTATAAAAACATACAGTGCAAAGTGAAATTTAAACAAATGCAACTTTCCTTTAAGGAATTTAAATAAAGTTTGATGGAAAAGTGTATTGATTGTATCAAATCTTTAAAAAATTAGATAACAGGAAATCAGACATTTGAAATAAATGTTTAAAAAGTTATTTAAACTCACCCAAAAGCAATCCCGAAAATCGACAGGCATTTTATAAACATTAGTGCTAAAGGCTACTTATAGTATGTAAATTTAACTAATCATTACAAGTGCAAACTGTAATCAAGGATCACATCACTTCAGAAAAACCAAACTGCACACGGAACAGCCATAAATTACGTAACGCCTACCTAAAATATCAATTTTTTTTTATATAAATCCACACAAAGGCTACGTTTATAGCGTAGAATCAGATTAACATTCCAACGATTAATTGAATCATTTGTGGTATTTTTAACTTCGATATTCGATTTAATTTTTGATACTTCTAATCGATTAAATTTACGACATTATCGATACTTTTCACAAGAAAGAATTGTTGCCATCGAGACGAAATGAATAGAGGTAGAAAAAAAACAAGTTAAGGATAACTCTCTACTTATGGCAACACTTTTTAAAATTCGCGATCGAAGCGATTGAACCCGTCCTCTAGCGGGTAGTACATTTTCAGGCTTTTATTTATTAAGTTTTCATTTACTCTATTTGAAACATTGGCAGAATCGGACGCAATTTTTTTTAACAACAAATGGATGGTGTTTTCAATTCGCGATCGCAACGCTCGAGTACGCCGTCTAGCGGGAGCCTGTAAATATCGGACATTAATTTATCACGTTTTCATTTAGTTCCATCAAAGTCATTGACTGAATCAGACGCCATTTTTTAGCAGCAAATAAGAAACAAAATTTCCCTAAGGAAAAGGCCGAAGAACTTGAAAAAAATCTCCAGAATATTAGTAAATCTTTCAGGAACAGAACACGCCAAACATTTGAAGAAAAATTCCTCAATAATTTTTAATTTCTATTATCAACAAACTTGCAACTGATGACTTCCGATTTCGGATACTGTTACAGATGTGTGTATTAAGGTAAAATGCATTTCTTCTGTCTTCAATTCATTACGAATTAAAGTGAAGTCAACATTGCTTTCGTCATTCCAGTGAATAAATATGAATTCAGAACATACAGAATTGTAATAGTTATAGCATATTCTTCTTCGTTATAGAATAGTATATATTTCTGTATCCATATAATTCGGAAAACAACAATAAAAAATTATCCAAGTTACTTGAAATAGTGCCATTTGTGCTGATTCTTAATTAATTTAAATCGTTTTCTTGGTAAGTTTTTTTTAATTTTGAAAGAATAAGTTCAACTAGAATTCAGCTATTCTGTTTTTAGCTACATATTCAAATTCATATCAATTATAAAATTTTGCTGTGTAGTATGTTATCTAAAAGTAATGAAGGTATAAACTATGTATCTATTATTTGAGAATAAAGTTTTCAAACAAGGAACTTATCATTTTGGAATTCTCCGGGAATCATAAATCAGGTAAGTGCAATGATTTTTACAATAAAAAATTTGCTTGTAAAAAATTTTTTTTTCATTTGATGATGGTTCTCTACAGAATGGTTTTTTACGTCTGATTAAGAACTATAAGAATAATAAAAAAAGAAACAATATGAAAGTTTTTATTTCAATGTTAAGAATTCTTAAAATCGTTTTTTTTTATCCTAAGAATTCTTTATTTTCCGTTTTTTAGTTTATAATTTTTTGATAAAAATTGTTCTCAAAATACTTTTGAAAAATTAAATGGTATAACATTATGTATTTATGTATACTTCTTGTATATTCCAATGTTTGAAATAATATGATTCAGAAAAGTATGGAATAAAAATTCGGTACTTTATTAACGCCACCGCCGCTACAGATTTGGCGGTTTTTAAGTGCCGCCAATCTACACTTAAAATTTTTGCGACAATTCATAAAATAAAACACTTTATTTAAAATCAAAATAGTTAATCGGATTTCGGTGGAAAATGAGCCGATATATACCCAAGTAGCACAGGGATATTGTAACAGCTTTAATCTACATCGACCGACATTGTCAATATTGGCGAAAATCGAAATTGTGTGTACGATATTGTACAATTCCCGTCGATTTCACATTAAAAGTCTGTTTGTAAAACTTTTCATTTTAAACTTTATTGTGTTCTTAAATCAAAATTAATCATTTAAAAGACAAAAAATGACGTCAAATAGTTATAATTCCAAAAAATAAATTTAAAATATAAATTTAGAGATATCCGAACAACACTCGGACAATATTTGATATCAATATTGCAATCGTGTTTTTGTCACGACATCGATTGTTTTCTCTAAATACTGAAATCTACGATATTCCACTCGAAACCGCAACCGTAATCCTTTAAGATGCTGTTTATCATTGTCCGCTATGCCTGCGGTCTATTTATCTTTTGTCTTCTTATATTTAAATCTAATTTCGTCTCATAAGATTTATATCTTAGCTCATAATGTAAGTGAAATGAAAGTGTTTCGATTAAGCGAGCCCGAAAACGCAAACCAGCTGTAGATGAATCTGAATTAATGCACCTTGTTGAAGTGAGCGAATTCTCTGATCTTGGCAGGTATGTGCTGTTTTTAATATATATAATTATATATTGCCAGAATTACATCGATTTCCTCTTTTTTCATGTCCAGGCTGCTTAACTATTTAATTATATCACATTATTCAATTCTTATATTCGCAAACAGTGACGTAATTTTATAGTATGTTTGGAGGTGTTAAGCCTTCTGACATGCTTATGTTTATATTTTTTCCACACCTGCAACTTGTACGTTCGATGAAAAATATTTTTTTCTAAACTAATTAAAAATTTAAGAGCTAAGCGAGCTAACAAATAGTTTATATTTGCATATTTTTTAATTATTAATTTGTCATGGTAGATTGAAATGTTTTTTTTTTTTTCGAAACTTTAAATTGAAGATTTAGTATGTCTACTAGATTGATTTAATATGTCTACTGAAGATTTTATAAGATCTCTAATGTTACTAATAGTAAGAAGTTTTTTTTGCGCAACCGTACAAGTTTGTAGTTATATATATATATATGTTTAATTATTATTTAATATTATGTTTAATGTAGTATTTAATTAATATATAATGTTTAAATTACAAAGCAAAAGAATTGAATCATGAAAATTTTATATACCTACATCTTACTTACCGAACCGAATAGCTCATTAATCAATTAATGAATAATTTCGGAAGGGTTTTTGATATGTATATATATATTTGCCAGAATTACGCCAATTTCCTATTGTTTTTAGTCGGTTGTACAAGAAAGAAGATCAAGCATTTTTCTTTTTTAAATTTAATAAGCCACATTAAAGAAGGAACGTTGCAATGCTACACGCTACATTAACGACGTCTCCAGAGTAACTGAATGACTGTTCATATAGAAATCGCAGGTATGCGTCTCATACAACAACGCCCCCTATAGTTCGTTGCGATCGCGAATATAAATGTAAACAACTACAATCTCGAGCTCAAAACCTGCTCTAGTTCCGATTACAAAGTATTCAGCTGCTGTAACATTAACACAAGCACGTAACATTATGTGCTTCTGTATACTTTTTGCATGCCATGCTTTTCTGTATACAGAAAAGCATGGAATCCAAAATTTAAAAAAGATCTTTCACACTAGATCATTAAATTTAGTAGAACGATTTCTCCGACACTAGGTTTTAACTCTAGTTACAAGAGTTTTATAAATATTTTCCAATGTGTTTTGGATGCTCCTTCTTTAAAAAAAAAGATATTCCATTTTGTTTCCACTTGCATAAGAAATAATATCATACACTTTTCTTTTTCAAATTTAATAAGCTACAATATAGAAAGAATATTACCATGCTACTCTGAAGAAATCTCCAGTGCAACTGATGATCCCGTTGTTCTGCTAGCAGGAATTCGTCTCAAATAGCAATGCCCCCTACAGGTCGCTGCGTTCGTGAATTAGCGTGAGAAGAGTCATAGAAGGAGGAAGTACTAAAATCTTTTAAATTAGGAAACTATATGGAACTGAAAACTACATTAAACACAGTTCTAAAATAAAGCGTCTTGAAAATTTAAAAAATATTTTTAACAATTAAATACGAAAAATAATAAGAAAAGGAAAAATATCGTAGTACATTCCTATACACTGAAAAGAGAAGGAGGGGGAAGGGGCAAAAGTATGAAACTGGAGTTATCGACCATACCGACCTTCATCAATCAAAAAGTACCTCAAAATTGAAACGAGTTAGCATGTCTAATATGCATACTAGTGAATTGATGCTAAATAATCGTAGTGGTAGTTACGCCACAGTACTCCCCCACCAAAATTTTATAAGGGATAGAATTCGATGTACGGATACCACTAGTTTCCGTATTTGCGAAAGTCCGAGAGAGCTGTATTAAGTTCACTGGATTTTGAGCACTTGTGGTGAGAGCTGTATTGAGTTCATGGTTGTGTGTGTGATCCCTTCTGTGTTGCTATTAACAGTCGAGTGTGTGCAGGATCCCATTGTGTGTAAAGGAAACTGAGAAGCAACAGGGTGAGGAGACGATGGCGAATTCACAAACAGCAAATCAACTATTCTATGTGGACCACCCATCGAAAAAGTCTTAACTTTCGATGTAGGAGAGTTCATATTGCATCCACAGGTCGCCAATGTGGGGAAAGAAGCTATCGATCATGCAAACCTTCATCAATCAAAATATACATACTAGTGAATTGATGTTTAATAAACGTAGTGGTAGTTACGCCACACTACCACTGGATTTGCGATTCCATAGACTTCACGAGCATGTATATCGCATGCTCGTAAAATCTGCAGAACCGTATTCAGGGGATCACAGTGGAATGGAGGGTCAAGCATCGCCACACTGGGCCGGAGTCTGATTCAGTGTGAACGGACTACTGTGTATGGTTGACTGTTTAAGACAAAGCAAAGGTGGCGCTATGTAATAAAATTCGTCTTACGACTTCCAGTTTATTACTTCTAATTTATTTTTACGCCTAAGCTTGAAAAAGCGTGCCTCCCAGTTTATTATACTTGCATTATTTACAATATAACGTCCCGCAGAAGTATCTACCTTTACAATATAGCGTATTTTTTCCTTATAACTTTATCCTAATCCACTTAATTTTTATCTGAGAATGAAATTGGACAACACCACGAACATTCCATGATGATACGCAAAAAATAACAAACAATGATATTTTACACTAATATTGGTCACCGAAATGTGCAGAGAGCAGAATTTCTACCAATGACAACACTTTGCATACTCTCTCCATTAGCGTGTGGATAGTCATAGGGGGAAGGAAGTATGTAAGTTTCTGTCTCGATTTTCAAACAGATTAAAATTTAAT